TATTGATTTTATATAAATTTCTAAATATTATGATATATGTTTATAAATATTTTAAAAATATTTTAATAAATGTATTAATAACATTTAAAAAAATATTTTAATTTATTTCATAAATATTTTAAAAATATTATTTAATAACATTCTTCTCAAAATATTAATAAATTATTTTAGAAACATTAGTCAAAATGTTTCTTAAATGTTATTAATACGTTTATTAGAATATTTTAAAAATATTTTCTGAAAGAAGGATAATTGCTTTCAGATTTTCTGAAAGAAGGATAATTGCTTTCAGATTCCACGCAATTTATTATTCCACTTTTTACTATATTTTATTTTATTTATATATTTTACATATTTCATTTTATTTATATATTTATATATTTTATTTTATATATATTATCATATTTATTGACAGTTGAAAATACCTAAACGTAAAGGTGGATTTTCTGAAAGAAGAGATATTGCTTTGAGATTCCACGCAATTTATTATTTCACATTTTATTATATTTTATTTTATTTATATATTTTACATATTTTATTTTATTTATATATTTATATATTTATATATTTATATATTTTATTTCGCAAAGATCGTGATAATCGCAGTCGGAAAAAGTTTTAAATTCCTGTAGAAAAAAAATAGAAAAAAAAATCAACGAGGAAAGAAAATCAACCGACCGGACGATCAGCTGATCGGCTTGTTTTTTTTTTTTGTTATCATTCGCGCTAATGCATTATTATCGAAAACTTCGTGTTTTCGCCGTGCGAGGTCATCGAGATCCATTCGAAAAATTGCCTCGCCGACTCCGTCGATCTTCAAGAGCGATTATCGATATCGATTGTCGCGCACGTAATTGGAGCGTCCGCTGACAGATTCTGGGAAGAAACTTTTATATTATTAACATAGTGAACGGAGTAAAGGAAGAAAAATCGCGAGAGGAAAGATCTAAAGGGAGCCATATCATTGCCTGCATTAGACACACGTGATTGGTCGATTCCCTTGGGCACATGTATTATGAGAGAGGTCTTCAAATTCTACCCCTCTAGGCTCCGTGCGTTCTACATCCCCCTCGTTTCAAAACGAGTCACTTCAGCTGGGAGCTCGTTCGCGATTTTTCTCATCTCTGTAAATAGACGATCGTCGACCGGCTGAATCGAGGGTGATGACAAGGAGGCAGTAATGGCATCGGCACTGGAGCAGTTTGTAAATAACGTTCGAACGCTCTCGAAGCAAGGTACGGCCAATCTTGGGAAAATCGTCGTGATTTTAACCTCAACTTAACCTCAACGAAGAGTGACGTGTAAAGCGTGCATCGTTTCTCGGAAAAAAGGGAAATTACTTTCGGACCCCCTCGCAATTTATTATTTCACATTTTATTAAATTATATTTTGTTTTATGTATATTTTTATATTTATTGACAGTTGAAGATACCTGGACATAAAGGTAGATTTTCTGAAAGAAGGGAAATTGCCTTCAGATTCCACGCAATTTATTATTTCACATTTTATTATATTTTATTTTATTTATATATTTTATATATTTTATTTTATTTATATGTTTATATATTTTATTTTATGTATATTTTTATATTTATTGACAGTTGAAGATACTTAGACGTAAAGGTGGATTTTCTGAAAGAAGGAAAATTGCTTTCAGATTCCACGCAATTTATTATTTCACATTTTATTATATTATATTTTATACATATTTTTATATTTATTGACAGTTGAAGAAACCTAGGTGTAAAGGTGGATTTTTTTAAGCATCTGGATTATATACAGCCTTATATGTACTTACAGGTAATTTTAGAGAGCTGTATGACATCATAAGTAAAAGCACTGAAGTGTTAACGAAAAATGGACAACATCTGGACAATGTGTTGGAAACGTTGGAACTCCAACAGCACTCGTTAGGAATCCTGGCGGTACTTTGTGCGAAATTTTCGTTACCTAATTCTAATGGGAATAACCCGGATGCACACAAGGTGTTGTTCAATCAAGTTCAGGAGTTCATTATCGGATGTAACGGAGAGCAAGTTAGATTTGCACCAGATATATGTAAGTATGTCAAACCTTCTGTCACAAACTTGATCAATCGTTGTTATTTTGGCTGTAATTCTTATATGTAACAAGTTAAATGCATAATCAAATTAAATATATAATCAAATTTTTTGTTAAGAAGCTTAGGATTTGTGCTTAATATGCATAGATACATGTTAATTATATAAGAAACAAGTTTTCTTAAAACATATACTCTTGGACAAAATTAACACATAATTTTTTTTCACTTTTTCTTTAAAATTTTTCGTTAAAATTTAAATGTCAGCTTTTAAAAAAAAGTGAAAAAAAATGATGTGTTAATTTTGTCCAAGAGTATATATGAGTTTGGAAAATTTTGTTGGCAGAATTAAATTCGAAGACTGTGTTACAAATACATTTTTAATTTGGAATGGTACATTGATTATGCTAATTATTTTGCAAAATAAAAATCTATGAATTTTGTCTATAATATTGAAAGAGCTTTTTCAAGTATCTACACTGATCTAAATATTTAAATGTCTCGGGAAGATTTTGAATTTTCCTAAAATATTTATGATACACTTCATTATCCAATCACATTTATTCTTTGTGGCGATGTATAATATTAATATAAATATATTTTACAGATGCAGAATTATGTCACTTGTTCACACAGAGCTTGGTGGAGTTGAAAACGCCATTACGAGGAATCGATTTGTTATGTCGCGCGATACGCAAGATACGATTGTTTGAAAGTCAGTTGACCTCAATACACGCCGATCTTTGCCAACTAAGTCTTCTGGCCAAGTGCTTTAAACCGGCCCTCGAATTTCTGGATGTAGATATCACGAGCATTAGTCAGGAGGGAGGCCAGTTCGACTCGAGATACTTTCTACTGTATTACTATTATGGCGGTATGATATATACAGTGCTAAAGAATTATGATCGGGCATTGTATTTCTTCGAAGTGTGCGTGACGACACCCGCGATGGCCGTCAGCTACATTATGCTGGAGGCTTATAAAAAGTACATTCTGATCTCGTTGATATTACATGGAAAAGTGTTGAATCTACCAAGGTACACGAGTCAGGTGATCAACAGATATATCAAGCCATTAAGCCAACAATATCAAGAGTTGGCTACAGCCTACTTGGTCAATAGCTGCGAGGAAGTGCAGAACATTATTACCAAATATCAGCAAGTGTTTGTGAGAGATCATAATTTGGGACTCGTAAAACAGGTGCTCGCTTATTTGTACAAGAAAAATATACAGAGGTTGACTAAGACTTTTCTGACACTTAGTTTAAGTGATGTCGCGAGCAGGGTTCAGCTGTCGGGACCTGCCGAAGCGGAAAAATACATCTTAAGCATGGTGAGTTTCATGACATTGTATGTATAAAGTGTCATTAGATAGTAGAGCTCTTAAGCATAAATATTTCTATAAATTGGACTTCAAATTTTTTTAATTTGATTTGATTTGACGACGCGTTTTGCTTAGCAGAAAGATACTTTTCTAACAACAAAATAATAAGTTTACTTGAAATAAAATTTTATTTTTTTTAGCCTGAAATTTTATTTTTTATCATCTCTATTTCTTCAATCGTTTTTAATTGAGATTTAATAGAAATTTTTATTTAATTTTATATTAAAGAAAAGTCAAATAGTTTTTAAATAAATAGTTATCAATTTTACATAGTTCTATATTAAAAAAAAAAAAGAAATTGTAAAGCATAAATCAAAAAGTCTTTATTGGAATATTTTATGTATCATAACTGTTTGCAACTGTATAAATTTCAATTGCTTATATAATTTTAATATATTTTTAGATTGAGGATGGTGAAATTTTTGCGACTATTAATCAGAAGGATGGTATGGTAGTGTTTCACGATGATCCTGAAAAATACAACTCGCCTCAAATGCTGGCCAACTTTGAGAAGGAAATGGCAGCATGCACAGAATTAGATAAACGAGTACTGGAGATGGAAGAAGAAGTCGTTCTTACACCGCAATATGTTCGCAAAGCTTGTGGACAGAATGATCAAGACGATCAAGCTGCCGGACCTGCACCAACGAACGTTACAAATGCACAAGGTCAAATTAAACAAAACACCTATTCTATGTAACATATGTATGTCGTTGTGTGTTATCTTTATTAAAAAATTACAAGAAATCATGGAAAATCTTGTTGAGAGTCAAGAGTTTAATATATAAGAACCTGTTTTTTAATAATAATAATAGTCACAGAGACATATTTTTGCGGCCGACGTGTCGCTTATTTTAGAGATATTATAAAGATATAGGTAATAGTTAGATTGAGTTAAATTATAATATGAAAAATTGAGTTTTTCTCATTATTCATAATTTCTCAATTACTTATCATAACTTTTGTGTGTAAGCAGTAGCATATAATTTAAAACTAAAATTTCTCTGCAGACATTTTTGAGATTATATTCTTGAAGAATTCTTTTCAAATGGCACGTTCTTTCATTGTTATAATATATATAATTTGCTTTATACAAATAATTTGAAATTGATAGTTAATTTATAATATTTCTAAAATAAGTTTTGTTATCATAATTAATAGTTAACATATTATAATTATAGATAATATATTTTGTTGAGTAAACTATTACATTTTTAAAAAATGTGAAATACTGAATAATAATTGATATTTGCAAATGTTATGAAAAAGAAAGTACCGTAAATGAATTATTAGTTGTGTGACAGACAAGTCAGTATTGTGTACTTACAATATCATTGATTACACAGTTTTATTCAAATTTAGTTTTTAATACTTTAAAAATAGAAATATTAAAATTTATATTAAATTATATATTATTAAATTATATATTAAAATTTAAGATGGAAGAAATGAAATTTATATACAAATTGATTGATAAATATTATAAGAATATTAAAAAAATAAACGTGATAATTCTAAACATTTGAATGAAAGGAAAAGATCTTAGGGAATATTGAAAAAGAGATTATAAATTATTGCAACTATTTAATTCACGAGTACTGCCTATCTCCACTTATTTCTGAGATATGTATAAAAAAATATATTTCACTCTAAATTAATAATACTTATTTAATTTAAATTTACATAAAGCTGTATAGAGATATAGGTTCAAGATAATAATTGATTAATTTCCTGGGAAACCGTTTTATAAATTTCTTCCATATCCTTAGCTCCATCGATAAACGTTATAGTCTCGTGCAATTTACTGTTTTGGACAATTTCATTTTTATATTTTACATATTCGGGCCACACCACCTTGTCGAAATATCCTGGTACATCGGGCGGTTCGTATATACGATTTTTTCTTCGTTCCCAACATTCTTCCTTCGTTAATGTCAGAAAATATTTACGATCACATAAATCCGTAATGCCTTTGTGTTGGAAAAGCAGAAAACCGTCCAGTATCAATATAGTCTTCTTCGAATTCACCGCATCATTTTCACGAGACTGAAGTATCTTTTTCACATCGGAATGCATTTTCTGCATATCTAGACTAGTCATCAGATCCCAATTTAAATGGTTTAATTCTGGTATCTTAATATGACGAGGATCATCCGATGGCAGAAAATAATCGTCTTGACGCACCATAACAGATTTTGGAAAATTGTCGCGGATCCTGTTAGCCAATGTGCTCTTTCCGCTACAGGTCGCTCCAGATATGCCGATGACAAGCCACTGCATCTTTACTTTTTTCATCAGTATTGCTCAACATATGTTGTCGAAATGTGGCAGAAAGAAAATGCTGTCATTGAATAATTTAGAGCGGAATGATAAATGATTATATAATAGATACTTTTTGCTAATATTAATTATGTACATAAATTATACAGTGCGATAACATATTGCGACGATAATATAGCTTTCCAACATTATTCGAATCCTAACAATTTGCTATTGAATTGCTAATCCACCTTCTCTATTTTACGTAGAGACAAATATGGTTTCACGTGATATAGAGTAAAGAATATTAAACCACCAATGAAGATCAGACCGAAACTCGCAGGAACCATCAAAGCCAGATCATGAGAGTAAAAGAGAAATCTGAATCTATCGTCGTCGATAAACGGCAAACCAAGTATCCAAATGGTATAATAGAAAAACAAGACAAATGTCAATATTAATATCACTTTTCCTTTCTGATGATCGCTTTCAAACATTGTTGTTTGCAATCCTATTTTAATTTTATCAATTGATTATTTTATTCTTTCATTTAATATCGCAATTGATAATTACTGGATATATTCCTGTTCAAACTTCTTAAAGTCTTCTTCAGTAAAAACTGTCTCCTCTGACTCTTTAGGTTTCTCCTGTTGATGGCTATATCTCTTTTTGACCGCACGCTGCAATAACTAAAATAAACATTTTACAGATTGTTTAGAAATGTCTCATATACACATAAGGTATTATATTTTTAATCTTGCATTGCTTACAATATTTGTTTATTACGTTATAGTTTTACGATTAAATTTGAGTAAGCTAAAATATCTACAATAGGCAAGCAATGTAGGATTAATAAACAATGCAATTGAGAAGTTTTTCATACTTTGTTTGCTGTTTCAGATTTTATCCGATTACTGCTAAGTAACAGAAGTCGTTGTACATTTTTATCAGTAGAATCTTGTTGAGCAGCTACGCATTTTTTAGTTTCATAAACAGTAGTTTTGCTGGATCGAGCGAAATCTGTAAAAAGAAGTTATATTATTTTACTTTTAGCTACCTGTATTCATTAAATAATTTAATAATATACACTAACATATTGATATAAAATATATATGTGTAACAGTATATATATAAATAATTTATTATAACTTATCTATAATTACTATATCTACTTGAATTTTTAATCAACATATTTTTATTTTCTAGAATGTGCAGCTTAGAGATGATTGGAAATGATTGTAATTAACCTGTTTTATCGTGTTTGGATATGATCCTGTGTTGAGTGGGAATTAGATCCAAGACTCCTTTATATCTGGTGTCTTTATGTTTTCTCCTTTTCTTTTGTTCTACAAATTATCATATATAAAATATATTTCACGTCGATTTTTGAACATAATACATGCAGTATCTCAATAAACTAACCTTTATGCAGATCTTCCTCGTAATTCAATAATTCCAAGCTTTTATGTACGAGTGAAATAGACATTTTGAGGTCAGGAGGTATATGGCAGAGAGAAGAATAGACCTGAGACCTTAGTGTCCCTAGAAGATTTTATTTTCTAGGAGCACACTATAGACATAGACCCTATAGACCTGAGAACGATATGCCCTCTGTGGATATTAAAACGTAGACATGAACTACAAAACCAAAATCCACGAATGTTCTCAGAGGATAACATATATGTCTCTCTGATAATATCAACAATATAAATAAAAAATAATATAAATAATTTAATTATTAATCATTAATAATTATTAATTAATTATTAACTAATAATGAAATAAAAATAATTTAAAATTAATATTTTTAAATAATAATTAAATATTATTAATAATTTAATTATATACATAAAAAATAATATAAATAATTTAATTAATAATAATTTATTATATAAAAATATGAGTATGTTCTCTCTTTCCACACTATTATTTATTTATTTATTTATGTGTCTTCTTTTTCTGTTCAACATCATTTGTTTATTTATTTATTTAGCTCTCTATAAGTCGCAATCTTTTAAAATGCAAAACTAAATATTATAGAATTTGACTTCGAAAAGTGCGATAAAATAATCGAATAAATTCAAATAATTAGCTCCGTGATAAATTGTTTAATAACTAATCAATTTTAATCAATAAATTAAAATACTTCCATAATTTAATATTCCGTGTTAATGTATATTTTATAATATATAAAATATTCCGGCAACGAATTATCGATAACACGGCGTTCGACTTTGGCAATATAAAATATAAACATAGTAGCGTGCTATACATTACCGCTTTGTCATCATTCGCACGGTGACTCTTGAATAATAAAGTAGTGAGAAACGCTTCGAATATTGTAATTTTCTTACTAAACACGATTACGATTAGTATCGAAACATAATTTGCTTTAAATATTAATAAAAATTAATTAATTAAAAATTAATTATCAATATGAAACTGTATCGCAACCATAAATCTTTATCGAATCTTTATCGAATAATGGTTCATTATCGCGATTAAAAATTGAAAGAGGGGATATATAAAAAGAGATAAGAGAATTAATTATGTAATGATCTTTCGATCATTGCTGTTAATTATAATATTTCTTTAACAATATTAAAATTAAATATATTTCGAACAATGCTTTAAATTTTCTCATCTCTTGTTAATTAAACAATATACAATTTAATCGAAAATCGATTAAAGTATAGAAATCTAAAATATTAAATAATTGCTTTAATCGTTGCGATTTTTACGGACAATAATTATTATTTTAATATTTAGAGTCACAAATATATATTTTATCCGTGTTATCTTTTATCGTTCTACTTGACAATGTAAATATAATTTGGATTGTGAGAGAACACGAAGTGAAAAATCGAATTAAAGATGCAAATAATTAGCATAACGAAAGGCTCCGTGATAAATTGTTTAATAAATAATCAATTTTAATCAATAAATTGTTTTATAATATATAAAATATTTCGACAACAAATTATCAACAACATTATGTCCGACTTTGATGACATAAACAATAATTTTATTGTTTGTATGTTACGGTTTTGCTATCATTTGTTCGGTGACATTCGAGCAGTAAAGTAACGATGGGAAATGCTTCGTATGTTGTTTAATTGTTTAATAAATAATCGTTTAATTACAAGCAGAAATTATTTCTTTAATATTTATAAATATTTATAGAGTCGAATACAATGTCTGCGACGTTTTATCACTTTATTTTTCAATCATTGAAATATAATTCAAATTGTGAGAACGCTCAATAAAACAATTGAATCGTGAATCTAAACATTCTAAACAATTAACATAATGAAAGACTCCATGATACATCAATCTTTTAATAAATAATCATATAATTAAAAAATCTATATAATCTAAAATACTTCTATATACTTTAACATATTTCATGTATATATGTATACATATGTTAAAATACGTAAAATATTTCGATGACGAACAAATAATAACACCAACCTTGGCGGCGTAAACAATAGTGCGCTAATGTTTATATGCCATAGTCTTGAAAAATGTTTCGGTAAAAAAATAATAATAACGGTCTTTTAACTAATTTGTTCGGCTCTATTATTATTCGCGCGACGACACTCAAAGAGTAAAGTAGTGATACAAGACGCTTCGTTAAATCTTTTTCTAGACGCGATCGCGATCAATATCGAAAAATTATTTGCTGTATTAAAATATGTAAAATATAATATAATATAATATGATATAATATAAATATGTATTGTTTACGCCAAGATCGGTATTATTGTCTGTTCGTCATCGAAATATTTTACGTACTTTAACATACTTATATTATATTATGTTATAATATAAAATATAATATAATATAATACAATAAAATATAATATAATATACTTCGATATGACGAACGGACAATAACACGGTGTTCGGCCTTGACGATGTAAACAATAGCGCGCTAGTCATACGGTCTTGATATCATTCACACGGCGACACTCGAGCAGTAAAGATCGTAGTGCGAAATACGTTGTATATTCTTAAATTAATTATTAAATAAACGATTACACAGGTCCACAAAAAAAGTACCCTGTGCTGGCGACCCTGTGTAGCCGAGTATAAGAGCCGGCACGACCAGTGCATCAAAACCAGATCCTGATCAGATCTCGCCCGGGCCAAGGTGCTTCTCGGCTCGACCGGGTGTCTCCGGTTGCGGTCATCCCATCCCGGTCGAGGCGTTCCTCGATCCGCTGGGTGTCTCCGGTTTCCTGAAACCAGACCAGGTCGAGATATCTCTCGACTCCCGCCGAGTAACTCCGGCTCCAGTACCAGTCCCGGTAGAGGTGTTTCTCGATCCACCGAGTATCTCCGGTTTCCCTTACCTGTCCGAGTTGAGGTATGACCCGACTTCACGGGGTGTCTCCGGCATTTTCGGTCCGGAGCATCGAGAAAGGTGGACCATTTCAACTATATTCGTAAATATTACAGACATCAAATTGTCTGTCGGAATATCTTAACATTTATGTGATAATAATTATATCGCGCGCGATTATAATGTCTATTCAAGCTTTGATTATTATATTATAAAAATTATATATATCGCAATCGGATATTCCGAATATTATCGATTTATTTAATCGTCGCGTTTTCTCGGAAATTTTAAATCGCGATTTATCTTATAATTTAATCGTTGACTTATACATCGAAGCTTTGTCTCTCTTTCCATGTCTTTGAATATTGTCTTTAATAAGTCCGCGCAAAATGCGCCAGTAATGCAAATACTTTCTTCTACAATCGTAGAAACGATCAATAATTTTATTAATGACTCTTTTGATCACGATTTACGTTACGTATTTACGTTACATATATACAATATAATTACGTACATTAAATTCTATTATTGCATATTTATTATTAATAATAAATGTCGCGTAATTAATCATCCCTAATCATTCTCATCTGGACTGCATAAAATTTTTTATTAAATTTTATATTTTATTAAATTTTATATACGTATATTTTGGACATTTTCATGTAATAAATTATTCCATGTAATAAATTATTTTGTATTAAATTTCAAATTATATTTTGCATAAACTTTTTTATTAAACCCTATTGAAAAAAATAAGAAATTGTTCCTCCTCGATATATCTCTATCTTAACAAAAGCAGTTGCCAGGTGAGGAGGCTTAACTCTAATAAACCTAAACCTTCTCTCCTTCTCTCTCTCTCTCTCTCTCTCTCTCTCTCTCTCTCTCTCTCTCTCTCTCTCTCTCTCTCTCTCTCTCTCTCTCTCTCTCTCTCTCTCTCTCCCTCCCCTCCCTCCCTCCCTCCATCCCTCTCTCTCCCCCTCTCTCCCCCCTCTCTCTCCCTCTCCCCCATCTCCCCTTCTCCACCCCCTCTCTCGCTCTCTGAGCAATTTAAATATCTATATCCGAGAGAACAAATGTCTATAGAAAATATTTCGATGAACTTGATAGGAAGGAATAAGCATGACAAATTAGGGTAATCCTTATGATTTTAACAAAATGGAATACAATAAACCATAATAATCCAAGAACTCAAAGAAGAGAATATATTGGATAGGAATGCATAGTGATTGGAAATGATTAGAAACGACAATATGCATGCGCAACCTCTATTTATTAATAGTAATACTATTTTGTAATTATATTAAATTTTATAATTTAGTACATTGTATTATATAATTATATTAAATTTTATAATTTAGTACACTGTATTATATAAAGTATTAAGCATAAAAATATTATACTGGTATAAAAATCATAATAAAAATATATAAATAATGTTGACTATATTAAAATGGAACATATGAATTCTTTATATTCTTTATATTTTATATAAAGGAAAAGACATTTAAAATATTTTACAACATCTATATTTTTCGAATCTTAATTATAAAAACTTTAAAAGAATCAGTGATTAATTTGATAAATTCTATACATGTATTAATAATTAAATTTTTGAATAATTAAAAAAATGATTAATAAATATCAAAGATCAGTTTACTGCTAATTAAGATTTATAGAAATACGGTTAAAAATGTTTTTATTCTACAGCAAGCATTTTGTATTTTGTAAATAAAAATATATAAATATAGCAATGAATATAGAAAAATATTTATTTCATTTTTGAACATTACATTGGAAGATTATAGTATCTTTCGCGATTGAATAATTTATTTACTATCAATTTATATATATAAGTGTCTTGTTATACTCTGGTGTTACCGGCATTTCGTGCACATAGCACGGAACGAAACCAGAAATTGTGCACATTATATATTACTCTCTGAGAACATTCGTGGACATTGGCTTTGTAGTTTATGTCCACGTTTTCAATGTCCAGAGAGCATCGCTTTCAGGGATCACTTAAAATGCATAAAAATGCAAGATAAATTTAATAATATAAATAAGTTAATAAATTTTTATATATAATAATATAAATAATATAAATTATAATAATATAATAAAATAATAATAAAATATAATAAAACAATAATAAATAATATAATAATAAAATAATAATAAAATGTAATAATATAAATAATAATAATATATAAAAATTATATATAATAATATAAATGAGTTTAGAGAGAGAGGGGGGGA